CCCCCCCCCCCCCCCCCTCTCTTTCTCTTTTCTTCTTTTTCTATCATCTCAAAATGAATGAATGCTGTGTGTTTGAGAACTTGAATTTGGATTTTAAAATCAAAATTACTTGTCTGGGGACTCCAATTTTTCTTTAATTTATAACTTGTAATTGAAGAGAGATTTTCTCTTATGTAATAACAACTCCGTACATCTCAATTCGATTCTGTTACCGTCTTTGCCGATTTCAAAATTCAAATTCTAGAATTAAAGTTCTATGACTTCTCAAATAACATTTAGAATTTGAAATGATGAGATTTTGAATATTTGAATTGAATTCTGAGATTTCAAATGAATACCAGTTCCCAATTTATGTAAAAGATCTACAAAAAAAATGGCATGAACGGTAGATCCGGCACTCTTTCTTTTAAATGTTAGGAACCCATATGTTTGACACAAAAAAATTAACACCAAATATTTCACACACACAATGTGTGTGTGTCTATATATATATATATATATATATACTCCGTATATTGTTGTGTCACACAATAACTATTTGAGTATGGGTATGAAAAAACTTTCATTTGGTCGGTTCATTGTTTGCAATAATTGAAGTGGTCGATATGGAGTATTATTGGGTTATATTTATGCCTAATAGTAAAAAGGTTTTTTTATGTTATTCGAAACTGGACCGACATTCAAAAAGACCAAAATAGAGACCCCCAAAGAAACAAAACCCTCAATCCTGAAATTTAGCTCCATTATAATCGGTATACATTTTGACTATTTGAGCTTCGAAAAGGCCAAAAAACAGCAGTATTAAATTTGAGTTTCAATTATACAAAAATATTACTCACTCCGTCTAAAAAAAGCTCTTAGTTTAACTTAGACACAAAATTTAGAAAAGTGAAAATGTATAGCGGAAAGTTATACATAGGAAAGACAAGAAAAGAGAGCTACTCCGAGTTTTCCATATAAAAAAGAAGTCTTTTTTTGAAATGTCCCAAAAAAGAAAATAAGAAGTCTTTTTTGGGACTGAGAAAATCCTAATATAAAATTAGACTTATAATTAGATTCGTCTTATTCAGAACTCTCAAAATTTTATTTCATTGTGTTAATATTTAATACAAGTTGAGAATAACCGAAGCTTAAACTTTGTCTAATTCGACTAGGGATGGGCGTGAAATCTGTTCCCATTGGACCGTTTCGAAAAATCTCGGATCCGTTTTGTAATTGTTCCGAATAATTGGGACACACTTTTTTATCCCCAACCCGTTCCGTCCCAATATTAAATGGGACATGAGCGGGACAACTTAAATTTATACCGATCCCTCCCGTTTGTCCCGTTTCATCTACTCTACTAATATATAATACTAATTGTAGTCCAAAATCCAAATACATTCATTCTTTAATTAATTAATTAATTAAGTTAACTTTATAGGCTTGAGATTTCAGCTCAAAGTTTATTAAATTTATTTGGTCCCGTTTCATTCATTGTTTTTTGTTGGATGGCTAGATGTTTCTCTTTTTTTTAAAAATGAAATGTCACCCTCTCCCCCTTCTTATATTTGCGATTAGGACAAAGTAGGATGATCTGAATCCGTCTCGTTTTGTTCCGATCCCGAATTTTGTGGGACAAACAAGATTGTAATCCAAACCGTTCCGGACCGTTTATATATAATGGGACTAGACGTGGGACAACCTAAAATCTGGATCGTCCCGATCCGTGCCCACCCCTAAATTCGACTCAAAAAATCAAACTAGACAAACATATTGGGATGAAGTAAGTACTCCGCAGTATTTATTTTTATTCATAGATGTGTTTTTTGTATAAATATATGGTAATTCAAAATTATGTTTAAAAATAAATTTATTGATATTAAATTTAACAATTCTTTTCTCTCACCTCTCGATAACATTTGTTTATTTGTGTATTTTGTATAAATCTTTACGTATTTTTTATACTTCCTTTGGTTTTAAAAACCTTTCATGTTTGAAAAAGACGCGCTTTAAAATTGTGTAATTTTGGTGTTATTTTTTTATTTTTCCCTTACTTTATACTACCTCCGTCCTTAAGTACTTGTCCAGTTTTAATTTTTTTGGTCAACTGTTTTCAACCTTTGACCTAAAATTAAATAAAATATATATTGTATATTAATTAGATAAAATAATATTTTGAAAATATTTGATATAATAAATCTAATAAAACTATTTTTTTTTATTAATATCTAATATTATTTTAATTTAATTTGAGGTCAAAGTTTATCAATTTTGACTGAAAAAAGTCAAAAATTGGCAAATACTCAGGGACGGAAGGAGTAATATGGTAGGATATGATGTGTATGATAGATGAGTCATGATTATTAGAAAATAAAACCAAAATTACATATTTTTAACGGGCGCTTTTTTTAAAACAGAAAAGATTTTTAGGGACTGAGGGAGTATGTAATTTTTATTTTTTATTGATGTCCAAACTGCAAAAAGAAAATGACTTTAAATGATGAAAAATTTTGTTTCATAAATCTCAATTTGTAATCTAAACTGGGAGGGAGAGATTAATAAAAGTTTACAAGTTTTTACAAAAAAATATAAAAAGATAAATTTTTAGATATTTTTTTTCAAAATACGACTTCCCTTTGGTGACCCAAAATTTTGAGGGCCTAAGAGCAGTGGAACTACCTCTAACGCCCACCGGCGTTACGAGGCATTTGACGCCTGGGGGGCGTTAAACACCGCCCCTCTCCCCCGTTATAGCTGCATTAAAACTTCTGCGTCCTATGTTTGACGCAATTTGAAGGCATTTTGATGCCTTCTTTTTCTTTTTCCCCCCTCTTTTTTCCTTTTTTCTTCTCTATAAATTAAATTAATTTTTTTTTAAAATTCAACACAAATACAAATTTCTCTCTATCTATCATCTTTTTTAAAAGAATTATTATTCAAGTACTTTTTATTTTTTCATGAATGTAATTTTTTTATTTAATGAATGTAATTTTTTATTTAATGAATGTAGTATTTTACAATGAATGTAATTTTTTTATTTAATGAATGTAGTTTTTATAATGAATGTAATTTTTTTATTTAATGAATTTAATTTTTTTTATTTACTGAATGTAATTTTTATAATGAATGTATTTCTTAATGAACTATTATCGTTTCAATTCTTTTAAATAATTAAATAGTTAAATTTTATTAATTTAATTTTAGAAGATGTGTATTTAAAATGTAAAAAATGAAGGTTTGAAGCCCCGGGGCTTCAAACCCATTTCCACTGAAACTGTGAGTTAAATTAAAGCTGACATGGCAGAGAGAAGGTTTGAAGCCCCGGGGCTTCATGGGTATTGCCAGTGCCCTAAGTACAACGCACCTCTTTAACGCTGTGAGGCTGTGCGGTGTGCCTCCCGCACGGGAGATGCCAAGTCACCAAGAGGGGAAGGAAAAATGAAGGGGGCGGTGTTCCCGCGCGGGAAGAAAAGCTGTCCAAAAAAGAAAAAAAACAATTGAAGACGCGGGATGAGCGAGAAGTCTGTCCCGTTCTTCCCCTTCCCCGCATGCAGGGGGCGGTGTCCCCGCACGGTGTGGCTGCCACCTCCGCTTCTCGTCGTCCCTTCCCGTGGCGTACCGCACGGCCTGAGGGCCATCATTGATTAGGATGGCCCATCAATTAGGAAATGTTTTCTCAACATATTTTTAGAGTATTACTTATTGTTTATTCTCATTGGGATTATATTATATATGAAAATTTTAGATTAGATCAAATCAGACATTTATTGTTTTAACTTTAACCGGATCATATTAGGAAAGGCTAGAAAGATTCAAATTTGTTAAAAATTGACTTCAAATCAAATCAAAAATTAACAAATAGAGGGATGCTTACATAGTTAAATGTGGACCTTCTCACATTTTTCATGAGTTTTCATGTGGATATTTTCTATTTAGCAAAAGAGTCGCTTCTTTTATGCTACAAATGCACTAAGATCCAAAAAGTAAGTATGGATCTTAGGTCTACAAAGGAATTTGCCTACAAAATATTCCCTCCATCCTGTTCCAAAGGGCAATAACCACATTTTTTGTTGTCCCACTCCAATGGGTACGCTCTTAACTTTGACATAACACCCGTAGTTTTTCAATCACTTTTTTTTATATTTTTTAATCATTTTTACATAATCTCTCTTACTTTTACAAATATTTAATTTGTACGAACTATCTTACTTTTTCATTCACTTTAGACGCTCCCCACATTTTCAATCATTTCTAAAATCTTCTTTAATCTCGATCCACAAATAGCTTCATGTTTCCTTCGATATGGGACGAGAGGAGTACAAATCAAAATTAATAAAATCAGACGAATAGAAAGTCCATACTAACATCTTTCCAAAACAAACGAATATTAGATATCCGGATATCCCGCATATGTTAGTTCTCCTTATTTGGTCCCACAGTATTACTGTGACTCTCTCAAATGGTTGTCAAAGATTGGAACTTCATATTACTGTGACTCTTTCAAATGGTTTTTAGTCTTATATAGGTAGATTTCTTTACGTATTTATTTATCCATTTTTAATCGCATTTTAGAATTAAAGTATCAAATTCATATATAACATATTCTTCTAGTGCTATAAATTTTCAAATATATACTTTCTATTTAACAAGTGTAGTACGTTTTCCCTTTGTCTCATTAATTATTTATATTTCTCAACCCATTTTTATTTCATAAAAAGAGTCATATATATTTCTCAAATTGTTGTCAAATGTACTACGTATGTACATTTGTGCTTTCTAAGAATTGCACTCTTTTTATGCGAGTAGTACTCAGTATTTATTATACAAAAGGAGTACATTACTAAAACACTTTTTTTTTACATTATTCAAAAGTGAGCTCTTTTCTTTAAAGCAAACAAGCAAAGTACTCTTTATTTAGTATGCAAATGGAATTAAATAGGGAGTATTAATTTGTGTTTGCTGACAACTGGTGTGTATATTTATGTTAATGCAGATAGTCTTTTCGATTTTTACGCCGTCGCTTATGTTTGCAAGCCTGTCACAAACCATAACAATGAAAGACATCATTTCATGGTAAAATTTTGTTCTGTCCAGATTTTCTGTTTCATCTTTTCAAAATACTCAAATTTGACAAATAAGTGAAACATAACAAAAGAAATCTTAGAAATTAACATTTCCTTCAATGATGAAAATAATGCTAATATGTTGTTTGGTAATGCATTTTATCACACTATAATTTGTTTCGAGATGAAAAGTTGGTAACAAAATTCCTGCAAAGGGAAGAGTATTACTCCCTTCTGAATTTTTTCTCATTTCGGTATATGAGGTTTGAGTGAATTTATTTTTAAGTTAATTTATTTGATTATTTTTTTAAAATTCAAAAAATAAATTTATAAAAAATCTTTTTTTTTTGTAATTATTTCTATTTAATTTGCAGGTGGTTTATGCCCATTAGTATTGGGCTAACCTTTTTATTTGGAGGATTTTTTGGATGGATTGTTGTGAAGGTACTAAAACCAAAACCACATTTAGAAGGCCTCATCATTGCTATATGTTCCTCTGGTATTCAATATACTCATCATGCTATATATACCAATAATTATATATAGTTCTTGTTTTCTACATTAAGTTCAAACTTCTTGTGATTATATAATTTCTTATGTCATACGGTGGTAATATTCACTTTTGTTATTGGGATAAAATGATAGGAAATTTGGGAAATCTTCTCTTAATCATCATTCCTGCAATATGTGAAGAGGATGGAAACCCCTTTGGTGATAAATCAACTTGTTCTACTATTGGTTTGTCATATGCCTCCTACTCAATGGCGGTAAGAAATAAGATTGTCGTTGGATTTTAGTGTATATTCAATTGTATAAAATTATGTTTACTTATATAATTTTTTTTATAAAGAGAGTTTCTGGTCTGTCGAATCGTATATAAGAACGTGTTCTGTTCCTATTTTATCATAAAAAAAATAGAGAGTATTTTGGCGAGAATTGTTCACAGGCTTTCCAATGGTTTTTGGTTGATTTGGTGCAGCTTGGAGGTTTCTACATATGGACTTACACATACCAATTGATAAGAAGTTCATCCTTGAGGCTAAGAGCACAGCTAGCAGCTGAAGCCACTATGGTATTCAAGGAACCAAACAAGGACTTAGATGCAAATGAGAAGTCTTTCCTCCTTGAGGATGAAGCTCCTCAAGAACATCTTCCAATTAGTGTCCTACCAATAAAATCAACACGGAATGACGCCGAAAATCCAATTGTAAGATCCATTATTGTATTTCACATATCTATCTCATACTATACACTATACACTCATCGATTCGATGAATCAGCGCTCTCATGCAACTGTATCCTATGATAAACTCATACTCCCTCCGTTTCAAAAAGCAGTTTCGCCCTAACTTTTTTTGCGCACCCCAGCAAATACTTCTATCACACCTAAAATCCTTGTGAATACACCATATTTCTCTTTTGCTGCTAGTAGAAGTTGTTTTGGGGGTATTTTAGAGATTTTAGGTGAGATAGAAGTGCTTTGAGGAATGTGTAAAAAGTTCGTGCGGAACTAATTTGTAAAACGATGGGAGTATATCTTTCTTGATTCTTTTAATGTGCTAATGTTAAAAATGGTAATTGATGACAAACAGAATGAATCACTAGAGGCCAACAACAAGCTGAAGAAACAAGATGGTGCATCATTCTTGAGTCAAGTGATTGGGATTTTGCACTCAATTGTGGANCCCCCCCCGCACTTTCTCATTTTTAGATTCCACAAATAGACACGAGCTCATATGGATCTACGGGTCGATCTCTACGTGTTTGTGTGAAAAAACAAGATGGGAGATGTGGGCGCAAAATTTGTGGACAAAATTGGTTTTATTTTTCTCTTCTTCTTGATGGGTACACAAAGTAATTAATCATATTGAAGTGTGATAATTTATGTGTTTTGTGAGTGGTAAGATCTTAGGATTTCTGTTTGGGGCTGTGACATGGCTGAGGAACCTAATAATTGGTGAGAGTGCTTCTCTTAGAGTAATCCAAGACTCTGTCAAACTACTTGGGTATGTACATACCATTCATCCATTTTCCTTTTTAATTTGCAAATGTGTGAAATTATTAATAATGAATACACACACACACCATTAAGGTCAAATTAATAGCAACAAACTTTGTCGGCACATTCTTGAAATATTACTATATATTTTGGCACATTTTGAAATATTACTATGTATATATAGTTTTGTTCAGCGATGAACATGTTTATTCTCCGCAACCACTCATTAAAAAATGTCGGATTGTTCTTTTGGAACCAATTCAACCACAAACTCAAACTTGTGGCGGTAAAAAAAACACGTGTTTTTGTTTTTAATAATGCAGGAATGCAACTATCCCATGTATCACCCTTATCCTGGGAGGCAACCTCACACAAGGTAAATTAATCAATTATCATGATCCCAATAACCCTAAAAATGTGATAGATTGATAGATTCAACAAAACCCTAACCCTAATGCCTAAACCATGCATGATCAACACAGGTTTGCGCAATGCAAAGGTGTCGCCATTAGTGATTGCAGCGGTTCTGTGCGTGCGGCATATCTTCAGTCCCCTGATTGGGATTGGCATTGTTAGGGCTGCCTCCAACTTAGGCCTCCTTCCGCCCGATCCCCTCTTTCACTTTGTCCTCATGATTCAGTTCACCATGCCACCCGCCATGAATATCGGTACGCATTGCTTAGGCTATGTTCTTTTCGGTTGGAATTATAAAGTTGGATGTTGGAAGAAACTAAAAGAACTTGGAAGAAACTGGAAGGAGTTGGGAAAAAAACTGAAAAAAGTCAGAAAACGCTGGAAAAATAAAGTGTTAAAAAATCACTCAATTAAATGATCATCCAAATAAATATATAAGGAAACTAATTCTGAATATAAAAAAGAATTCATCTTTGTCCGTGTTTGAGGTGTTACGTTATAAATTTGGATATATAATGTTCTTGTATAATCATGATATGTAAATATATTTTTTAAGTCATTATTAAAAGAAAGTGGAAAGAATTAGAAGGAATTGGAACAAAATGGATGGAATTAGAAGTAGGTGAGAGAATGAGAATGTAGACTTGAAAATTTAGTTTTTCTTGGTCATCCACTCAACTAATAGAGAGTTTTGCCTGGATATATTTTTGGACTTGAGTGACATATTAAATTTTGTGACAAAAAAAAGTACAGTGATAATTTATGTATTTTTTTTGAGGAAAAAAAGGAAGAAATAATTTAATTTCTTGTGGACGTATTTGGGTGCAGCAACCATGACACAACTGTTTGATGTAGCACAAGAAGAATGTTCAGTGCTTTTCTTGTGGACATATTTGGGTGCAGCACTTGCACTTGCCTTGTGGTCAACTGTGTTCATGTGGATCTTGTCATCATCATGATATATGATGGCATTCATTTTTTTTATGTATTTGTATGGTGCATTAGGTAATTGTACAATATTCATTTTTTCGGGCGGAAAATGCTACATGTACATTACGCTTACTTAAAACTTACTCCGTACATCACAACCAAAATATTAAATGACAGAGACAAATTTTTGTGATTTTGAAATTTCTCTTTATATTTCAAATTTTGGGTAGTGATTTAAGCGTAATGTACGTGTACTTTTCCTGGCCTTTTTTGAATGGGGTTTTAGTAGTGTGTTTGTGGCAAAAATAATAATCCTACATCACAATGTATTGTACTTAGTTTGATTGGGGATGTGAATGAATATTATAATTGATGGTGTAAATTACTTGACCGGTCAAACTATACTAGACCGGGTCTAGAATAGTTTGCTTGATTTTGCAAAGTAAGGAAGGTAAAAACACGCAGATTGACCGGTAGGACTTTAGGTGGAACACCTGTAGCCCAATTTATATTATAACGGAGAATGCATGGGTGCTTCTACAAGGGAGTTTAGAGAGAATGAATTCGGATCCCTCTTTCTGAGGTTTACATGAGTATTTATACTAGGCTAAGGGGATAGGACCACGTGCGCCCACGTGGGGGCATGCTGCTGATGTGGTGCGAGGTGACTGGTTTCGTCCTCGAGCTGCCTTGTCGCCTTGTGAGGGGGATCATTCCCTTTGTCGAGTAGCGCCTTGGATGGATTCTTCAGCATCTCCAGTTGTCCTCTACTGACACGGGTCGCTACACTCCAAGCCCTCGCAGATCCTCTTCTGCCGACACTTTCCAACCTCAGAAACTACACCGGGTAATCTCCGAGGGGTGAATTCATCGAAGTCTGGAATAAATAGGATGATAACGTAGTTTGACCGGTATACTCTTTTGTGAAGTGTACCGGTCATATTTTGGCCGATGATATATCGTTTTGCTGACGATTTAAGTCTCCCTTCCAAAACTTCCGAGATTGACCGGTCAAAGATTTGGCTTTCTCCTTTGACCGGTCTTGGGTGAAATACACCCATCAATAATGATGAATATTGTGTGATTGAAATCTAACTATGTACAAAAAGTAGTGATATGAATTACACACCATTTTAACATATGGATGAATGCAAAAAACACAATCAATCAAAAGAGAGTAACAATAAGATAAAAGAATTTGACATTGCCTTCTGTGTTACTCAAGTCGGATGTCTTTTGGGAACAACCTTTTTACTTTCGAATAGAGGTAAGATATGCCAACACATACCCTCCCTGGACTCTACTTTTATGGGACTATTGTTGTTGTTAGTTTAAGCAATAATTTTTTTTTGTAGTTCTTTTGGAATATAAATTTTATTTTCACTCCAATTATCAAATAAACTATATCAAGAATAACTTCAGCGAAATATCGTAAAATAAAATAGACGATTTAAATTTAGAAAGACAAAGTATGTTAAGTTATGTATGCATGTATGTATGAATTAAGGATGAGCTAACAGGTCTTGAAATCACAGTCAAAACCTAATGCGGTTCTCAACTTTTAAATTTCATAGGACCATAACCGGCCTTTAATAATAATATTAGTTAAATTATTAATTATTAAGATTTTAGTGGACCATTGAAATTTTTGTTATTGCATGATAGCAGCTTTTTATCATTTTTGAAGTTTGAATGTGTTAGACACCTACAGTGAAGTGGCATTGATAATTTTGTTTTTGGCCGTTGAAGTAACATCCTTTTTATCATTTCCTTATCATTACGAATTAACGGTGGCGTTGCTCAGTTGCTAAGGCAAAAGGGGAGTCAAGCGGATAAGATCCGAGTTTGATTCCTGACAACTGCGCGCTGGAAGGCAACTATGCTAAGCATAGAACCTCTGCAAGTACTAGGTGGAGGCTCCACTTTTTACCACTAATCCGCAATTAAAATCCAAATTACCTTTTTTCAATTCCCGTCCAATCGGATCTGGGGAGGCTCTTGGAGATTGAGCTCATCATTTTTTCTTATGATTGGTAAGATGTATATTTCATGGGCCCCGACTTTACTGGACTATTAATAATCTGTCATGCACTGTATGAAAGTGTGTTGTGTATCTCTTGCGATTTCCTTCTGTACATAATTGATTTGTGGGCTTCATTAGTTAATCATCTTGATCCCATATTTTAGACACCTACTTTCGTGTAGACAATTCTTTTACACTATATTTGGTTCAAGAAATTTGAGGAAGGAAAATAAAATGAGAAGAAAAGAATTTTTCTTGTTTGATTAGAGAGGAAAAAAAAGAAAAGTGAAAGGAAAAGAAAATAAGGCAAAAAATACTAAGGGGAAGAAAAATCAAATTCCTCCCACTTTAGTGAGGAAAATGAAGGAAAACTATTTTCCTTTTAAATTCGTTGAACCAAACATAATGTTACGAACCAAGTACAATATATTTTCGGACAGAGGAAAGAATGAATATTTTTGTGGTGGGGTGAAAGGAGTATATCTTGTCAGCCATATATTTCTCCACCTTCCCGGTATTTTTGGTTAATGCCATTTTTTGCACCGACTTTCGGTGAATTGAACGCTAAAACTCAAACTCTAGAGTACAAGGGCCTTGTAGCCTGCCCGTTTTACACGCACTCTTGACCGTATCATAGGGTTTTTTTTCACAATCTAATCAAAGAAAACACTCATAAACCACAAGCTAAATACTAATTACAAACCAATAGCATTCCATAACAACAAGCAAAACAAAGGCTCTACATCTGAGTGGATTCCCCGCCAGCATCCAGATTTTCCTGGCACTGGCAATCAAGCAACTCCTCCTGATGCTGAGTGGAATACCTTCTTGAGCCGGATTTCCATTGGCAGGAGCAGGAGCTGGCCAATCAAGAGGAGGTGCTTGATTGCCACCGCCAGGAAGATGTGGATGCTGGCGGGGAATCCACTCAAATGTCTGAAATGAACCCATGCAAACAACTTCATCAAATCAAAAAGTAACAAACGCTCTTTAATAGTACGGAATACTAAGCACAATTGACAACATCAGAAACTGTACCATTCATTCTCGTATGCCCATTATATAGTCGCTCAAGATCTATTACTGGGTTTTGACGAGGAGGACTTGGCTTTTGCGAAGTCTACCAGATCTTTGAAGAGCACATCCTCCTCTTTTTCTTGCTTGGTTGGGTTCGGTGGATTAATTGAGAGATTCTTTGCCTGCCCAACTAAGCTTTCATAAGAGGTCGACCCCTTACTGGAATCAGAAGCACTGCCAGAATATAGATGCTGCTGTTCAAAATAGTGTTGCCTCTGGTTATATCTGGAAGGTGGTGGTGGGAGGTTGGCGGCAAGGGGGGCTTTCGGAGAAGCTTGAGGCAAGTGATCTGTGGATTTGGGCAGTGGATCTAAACCACTGTGGTCAGATTTCGGAGCAAACATGGATGCTGTGGGATTGATGAGATCATCCGCGGTGGGGTTGATGAAATCATCTGTTGCAGTGGGATTGATGAAATCATCTGCAGTGGGATTGATTAGATCATCCGAAGGGGGAAATGAAGACAGCTTTGGACTTGATTTGATAGGTGGTGGCGGGATTGGATCATTTTGATTGGTAGGAGCAGCAGCAGTTGGTGCAGATCCTGAATTCCCAGATGCTCTTTCGGACTGATATGTGTCGCCACTTAGGTAATCAATCACTCCAGCATCAGTAGAAGTAAGAGGGTTCCTCGATGATGGTGGAGGAAGAATTTTACCGATCCGAACTGGTGCATATTTCACATCAATGGGATTCCGACCTTGTACTTGTGATGTATCCCTCGAAGACCTGTGATAATACAAGTATATTATAGAAATCATATGTGACAAGAGATTCAAAAATGAAGGAAAAAAAAACAAGAAACGATGTAATAGAAAGTGTTAGGGCAGTCTTTCGGAAGTATCCTTGAAACTTTTATAAGTTAGGGATAAGGTTTGTGCACACCTACCCTCCTTACACGGCTGCTGCGGTTATTGTGGTTGAAGGATTCGGAAATTGCAGCTTTCAAGATAAAAGGATCCAGTGGATCTTAACTAATGACTGTGTCATTGTGACGAGGGAAGTTTTGCAAACAAATATGCAAAAGGGATAACATTGGAAAACTATTCTACATATCCCCTTGATATTGCAGATAGACAGACCATAGAATGTGACAATTGGGTTTTAAAATTAATAACCTATAAGGATCTTGGAAAGTAAACTTTCTAAATACTTTCTGCGTTCTAAAATAGATGCAGCATTTGAACTTTTACGCTTTTGAATACTACTGTCCCCAATAGGATAAGGGTACATTCAATAGTGTTATACTTTTCAACACTTTGTGAAATCAATGAGTAAACTTCATTGCAGGATGGAGGGAGTATTTGTTTAAAAAAGAAAAGTATTATGAGACACATATTCCTTTTCTGAAAAGGAAATTGTCAAGGAACCAATTCAACCAAAAGCTCAAGCTTGTGGTTGCGGTCCAAGAAAGGTCTTTTATACTCTAACACGCCCCCTCACGTGCAGGAGTGGTTGCTTCGAACTTTGCACGTGAAACCTTTAATTTTAAAAAACAAGGTGGCGGTGAGGTTCGAACTCGTGACCTCTTGGTCAACAAAGCTTTGATACCATGTCAAGGAACCAATTCAACCACCATTGTGGTTGTGTCCCAAGAAAGGTTTTTTATACTCTAACGGGAATGAGATACGTGTAAAATTTATGTTGGGACGGAAGAAAAAAAGTTAAAACTTTGATGCGGGGAAGATGGAGTATATTTTCAATAATACCCCCAGTTTAGAGGGCAGGCTTATTGGTTCGAATTTCAAGAAATAGTAAAGTGCCTAACGCCCGAACATAATATACTCTTTTCGTCCAAAAATCATCTTCCCAATTGCCATATTAGGATGTCCCAAAATCTTCTCATACCTTTTTTTGGAGATTTTAAACAATTGAAAAGACATTTACAACTTTCAACTACACACTAGATACCACCAACCTCTCACCCCTACCTTCCAGATGCAACCAGAGGAAACACTATTTTGAACAGCAACATCTATGTCTTATCAAATAGTCCTTTCCCCAATAAATAACTTTTTTCAACCCACTTTTCTACCTACTAAACCCGTGCCTTTTTCACTTGAGAAGATGATTTTGGGATGAAAGGATAAACCACTTCGTCACAATTCTTTGCCGAGGTAACCATTGTCCAATCTTGAATATCTGATTTTTGCATTGTTTGATTAGACTTTCTGCTCTAGAGCAGCACAAACCGGTGATTGCCATGTCTTAAAGCACACTTTATTAATCTATACAACACCTGATGGAAGAAATAAATGGAAGCATAGAACAAAGTAAAAACTCAAGAGCAACAATACCTGCGGGCTAATTGAGCAAAATCATCTTCGGACTCTTCCTCCTCATTATTCGCATTCATGAGGGGTGCAACAGGGGTTTCTTTTGTTGCAAACGTAGCAGAGGAGGTTCCTGTGGCAATATCATCATGACGACGGAGAACCCGTTGTAAATTGTCATTAAGTGCCAACCCCTTGCAAAGAAGCTCCTCATCTCTAGATTTAAACAGGTGACCACATTAAAAGGTAACAAAACATGAAAAATTTTATAATAAAAAGAATAATGATAATAATAAAGCTGATGGCATCCTTACTGAGTGTTGTTCACAAGAACCATGACACGTTTTTGGTAAGAACAACACTGTTCCACAAGGTCCACAATCACTTCTTCTTTTACACCCTGATCAAAACAAATATAGAATATTGAATCAAATGTAAGAGGTCAAAGCGATGCTAACATATAAAGATTCCGCCTTATAGAGTTTTTCAAACATCTAAGTATTGAATCATTGTAAAACCCAAAAAATTACAATACACTATTTTGTTATATTCAAACACAACACGCTCTAATACTGCTAGTATGAAAAAATAAAAGGGAGAAAATAAATTAAAGAGCATTGACCAAATACATTAAAGGATTTTGAGCTCATGGTTGTCGGCGTCAGCTTATGTGACAAGTCAAGTTCAGTCGCCAGCAAATAGACTGGTCATCTAGTTGATTAGCCGGTCAACTAGTCGATAAGTGTAATACGGAGTATAATGTAAAATCTTCCAATTGCAAAGATAACAACAAAAGCATTAAATTAAATATCTAATATTCGTGTACAAATTTTAGTTTTAAAAAATAGAATAAAATACTAATGCATGTTGAAAAACAATTTATTGAAAAATATAATAATATAAAAGAAAACAAAATTTGAAAGTAATTAAAAACATGATTAGAGAAGGTCCAAAACGGAAGGAAAAAAGATAAAATAGGAGAAGAAAGAGTATTAATTTTATTAATCAATAACAACAAACAAAAACACCTCTGCGAACGGACCCATTCCTTCCCCCACCCCTTACTGAGTGTTATTCACAAGAAGCATGACACGCTTTTGGTAAGAACAACACTGTTCCACAAGGTCTACAATCACTTCTTTTACACCCTGATCGAAACAAATATAGAAAATTGAGCCAAATGTAAGAGGTCAAAGTGATACGAACATATAAATATTCTGCCTTGTAAAAAATTTCAAGTCTCTAAGTATTCAATCACTTTAAAGCCCAAAAAATTACAACACACTATTTCGTTATATTTAAACACAACACATTCTAATACTACTAGTATGAAAGCATAAAAGGGTAAGGTAAATTAAAGAGCATTGAGCAAATACATTAAAGGATCTTGAGCACATGGTTGTCATGTCGACCTATGTGACAAGTCGAGTTCAGTTGCCAGCGAATAAGAGTATATATTGTAAAAACTTCCAATGGAAAAGATAACAAGAACAAAAGCTGTTAAGTAAAATACTTAATACTCTTATACTCCTGTACAAAACTTAGTTTAAAAAATAGAAAAAAACACTAATGGGTGTTGAAAAACAATTTATTGACAGGTATAATAAAATAAAACAGAACAAAAGTTTGGAAGTAAATAGAAACATTCTTTAGAGACGGTCCAATAGGAAAGGAAAATAGATAAAAGAGGAGAAGAAAGAGTATTAATTTTATTAATTAAATATTAAAAAAAATTGCTTCNCCCCCCCAATGCAAACTGAAAGAAAATAAAAATGAAAAAAAACACAAAAAGGAAGTGAGAATCGAAAAAGAATGAAAGAGAAGACCAAATATCAGGAGGCTACGACGGCAACAATGACAAACAACGGCAGATCTACTTCCATCCGGCGGTAGCAATGGCGGATCTACTTTGCGCTGGTGGCAGCGGAAGCAGATCTACTTCCCACGGGAAGGCGGCGCATCACCCAGTTGCAAGTCACAACCACAAGCTGTCTCCTTCTAGTGACCCAACACATAGTTCACGACTACTCAATGATGTAACAAGACTGCTTATGAAAATATCTTCATCTGAGACTCTCCAAACTTAGGTAGCTCATGAAAATTGTGATACATAGAATTCAGTCTCTTATAGGTGCTATCAAACAAAGATGAAAGGAGCAAGGCGTCTTCATATAAAACAAAATGCATTTTCAGAAGAATCATACTTTCTCAAACAAAAATAAACTCTGGAGCAGTTGATATAAGATTGCAAAGAAAGGAAGAACTTCAAATCCCTGAGAAAGAATGAAACAGATAAAGGAAAAACGTTCTAATAGTCTAACCAGAGGGTTCTTAGGATCCAAGGCGCTAAGCATCTCCATCAAAACATCTGCTAAACCCTGAGCTGTTTGAATCTCCAGCACACTGGATTTTATAAAAGCACAATATCTCAATAAACAGTACATATGACGGACAAACCCAGTTTAAGGATATTAAATAATAATGAGGGTCCTTCAAAAAAAAATAATGAGGAAAAATGTGCAGATCTACAGTCTAGGATGGGCCAAAGTAAGTTTCTTTTAATCTCTTTTTAGAATTTCAAAAAAGGGCATGTGTATTGAAACAATAAAATCAGCAAACAAAATGTGATGACTAATCAAGATATTAAAAAAGAAAACAAACAATGCTTCCATATTTACTAATGAAATGTGTTACACAAATTTTCAAATATATAGTGATGCATACCATAAAAAACTTAACAAAAATGCATTGTGATGCATAAATTCCTGAGTTTAAGTAGGGATAAAGCAACCAGGATGCTAGTGAGATGTTCTATCAATTATAATGCCTTGGCAGTATTATTAATTCTTTTAATCCAGATAGCTATGGTACCAAGGCAATCTCCCAAGTTCTAGAATAATACTGAAGAACAATGTTCATTTCAAATATTGATGCAAGGTATTCTACCATTTATAGTGATTCCCTCGCACACAAAGAAAAGCCTACCTAAGTCCAGATTGATCAGATTCAAGAGAGAGCTGGACTGCAGTTTCTTCATAAGCTGAAGCTTCAGGGTGAACAATCGGATGGGTCTGCGGTGGAGTAAATAAAGGTACGCTATTTGCCTCACGGGGAGGAAATTCAACACCAAAAGCCTGCCTCATTATAAAAAAGATAACATAAATCAACAATTGGTGGTCTGATTAGGCTTCATTGTGACTTGGTCATAGTAGTTATCAAACAGTCATAACAGTGAAGAAAACACACAAAAATAGTTGCTTTTCTATTCACATGGTACACTACATGTGCAGCTCTTATAGATGACTGGTCATTGACTGCATATCTTTATATTATTTTAATACATTAGAGATGAAAGAAGATTGAGTACAGGGGACATCCCCTCAAACCAACAGTCAATCTGTCATTGGCACATTACTCCGTCCCTCCATTCCTGGACATAGTACCATGATGACAACAACATACCCAATAGACTTCAACCAAGCGGGGTCAAGGGAGGGTGGGTGTATGCAGCCCTTACCCCTACCTAGAGGGTACAGAGGCTACTTCCAATGATGTTGACATGTAAACCTGACAATTGGCCATAACAGAAAAAGTGAAAATTGTGCATGTTTTCCCAATGCGCTGTTAAATGAAGTTTGTGAATTGTGATGATTAGCTTGGTTCCCAATCCAGTATTCAATGAAGTTTTAAATTATTAACTTGATTAATTGATTCTACGAAAGCCTTAAGCCAGCAATTATCTCTCCATTGCATTTGAAATTGAATACTCAATATAATATAAACTGTACAACTACAGCAACGTTATTAGCAGACTGAAACCTTCAGCATCACACATTTATAGACTGAAGAGTAGTTAATAAAGATTATTAATTGGAATGCATAGAAAAACAGTAAACCTTGCAACGCAATATAAAAACACAAAAATCAGGTCCAGTGCTTCAATAATATTGGAAAGTAAATACTTGTAATTCCATAACTCACTAACTTCATTGTAACAGGAAGCAAAAAGTTTTAAACTAAGCAGAAAACATATATGAGCAAATTGTCTCATTACTTCAAAGTTTCAACCTTTATATAACATACTCTGATACTCAAGACTGAAGAGGCAGAAGATCTCTATCATTTCTAGTCTGTATCATCATTTTAAATCAAATGCTTCAAAGGATTTTTTTCTTTTCTAATAAAGTGACCTCAAATGTCCAAATCCAATACACAACACATCAAAAGTGGGGTGTTGGGGGTGTGTGAAACAAAACTTTTCCAGTACAGTGCCAATGTCACATCACCTAATCCTAAATCATACACTGATACATGGTTTGAAGGAGTCGTGTTAGGAAACAATTCAATGGTTGAATGGGGGAATGGTGAAGTTTAATGTTATAATTACAGATCAACATCCGGTTGAAAAATTGTTTTAACACTAATGAGGTTTTTCCTAGGGATGAATTGTAATTCATTTTCCTATTATTCAAATGGAAGAAAAACTGCATTGTTTGGTAAGGAACTTCACCAAGCAATTGAAATTCCAAAGTAATTGATATTCCTTGATTTTGAGGAACTTCTATTCCCATGCAATCCCCGTGGGATTTCTCCATCTTGCTCTGGGGAGAAAAAACTGATTTGCTAAAAATTCAGGGAAGAAAAAAGAAAAAGACACACGCGCGCACACAAAAGAAAGCAAAATCAGTTTAAAAGTCAGAAATTGAGATCTCCAACTCTCTGTGTCTCGGTCTACCATTCATGGTGTGTTGATCACTAGTGTATTCGCCAAGAAATTGCTTCAACATATTTAACATTTGATGGTAGCATATTGAGTTCAAAAAACTAGTGGGTGTGTTCGGTAAGGACCTTTTTGGGGGTGTTTGTTTGGTAAGTGTTTGCTAGAAAGAATTGAGTTTGATTGGTAAGTGTTTGCTTGAAAAAAAATTGTGAGAGCTTTTTGGTCACAAAAGGTGGTTTACAAAAAACTTGATTATCAAGCTTTTTGGAGCAGATGCTAAGAACTACGTGCCTTTTCCTCCACGTCCTTGCTAGTGGCTCATGTGGCCATCGACGAGCCTCCTGCCAACCAGCTGGCAGCGATGCTAGTGGCTCGTGTGGCCATCGACGAGCTGCTAAATGCAAAAGGGAGGACATGGACAGTGTCACAATGAATTAGCGTGACAAATAGTAAACCCCAAACTTCTAGAACTGTACCACAGTGCTGCTGTAAAACAACTTGCTCATTACCTCAACATTTTGTCATTCCCCCAATCTACACTCAGAACTCAAATCAACTTTGTATCCAATACGCTGCATATCAGGTTCTCAATATTTCCACTTGATTGTGGGGAGTGTTTGCATTCCATTTATAACCTTGAAAGCTTGAGGGCAAACTTGTCTGGGAGGGGTATAATGATTAATGATACAAGGTGGAGATGTGCTAGTTCTTGGACTTAGTATGAATTGAGACTTAGTTCTTGGACTTAGTATGTATAGTATTTTAGTCAATATTCGTAATAGCAATATTGTAATGGATTAGGACTCACCTGTTCACCTAGATTATTATGAGTAGTATAGATGGTGGGTTTAACATCAATAAAATTAAACAATTCTGGGCTACAGGATCCTCTTCCTATGGCTTTTGTGGAGGATGAGTCTACCATATCCCAACCATAATTATACTGCTTTTTTGCATAATTACATATGAAGGGACACTTAAGTATTTGTACGAGTAACTCCCTCATTATTCTAAAACAACAAAACAATGGAACACTTTTCCCAATTATTTTATCCCCAGTCTCCACCAATTAAAGAATTAAGGATCCTTCATTGTCCCTCATATATTCTTCCAACACAGAATTTGAACTTACATTCCTTTGTTCCTTTCCGCATACTACCCAAGCAATAACTCAGTGGGTGAACATAAACACACAGTTGGAAACTAGAATTAACAAATAGTATTGTTAACGATCACTTAAAATATAGTGACATCCTCAAGAATATTAGTGAATTCAAATATCATTAGTTAAAGACATAAGTTTATAATTGTAAAAGGTAAAAATGACCTTCAGCTCGTTAAAGGCAGCATGGTATTGTGGAAACCTTGCTTGTGGCCCCCCCAAAGCTTCTTGCCATGTATCTATCAAAATTAAGATCTTTTCTCTCACATTCAAATCTGGCTGAAATACACAAAGAAAAGAGAATAACATTAAAGATGATCAAATAAAAAGCAAAACAAAATAATGCAATGGGACAAATTGACTAGTTGTACCTTTTTCTTGACAACTTTCACCATGTCATGCAAAATGTCCCGCTCCACAATCTGCTGAAATACATTCTCTCCACAATTTTTACTTAGAGTCTCAAGTACCTATTTGGAGGAAGCACACATTGAAGTTATTGCATAACTCCTTTTAGTAGTTTTGCATCATAATCAGCTCAAAACAATAAATAGGATTTATAGAAGAGTAAGATAATCAAACCCATGCAAAAGAAAGTATCTACAAGACTACAACCATGACTATAGAAGCTTAGGTTCTGTTTGGCATTAGCGTTGGAGTTTTCGAAGTTAATCTACACCATTAAATTTTTATCCAAAACACTAGCGCTAATCAAAAACCTTGTTCCCAAACATGGCCTTAAAACTACTGGTAAAATGGTAAGAGTCTCTAGAGCTTCTTGTTCAAGATTACTAACTGACTAACTGTAAAAGAGAAAGAGCATATAATTATTATATATAAAGCCACATGATAACGAGATTGAAGAGAAAGAAAAAGTGTTTGTGCATTAAAAAGAAGGAAAGGGGTGAGCGTGGTAGAAAACAAAAGGGACTCAATAATAAAAAGTAGTTAAGTAGAGTTTCACGAAGGTTCTTTCTCCTTAGGTTTCTTCTTAATTCTTAGTGTTTGTTATTGGTAGAACAACAAACACAGTACAACTCCATCTCTCAATATGTATGTAACCTTAGCTTGTACTCTCTCCGTCCCTCTTCAATCTTCCCACATTGACTTGGCACAAGTATTTAGGCAAGTGATAAATGTTGTTGACTTTACTAAAATGCCCTCCCCAAATCCAAATGCTCACCCTAAACACTCTTCTACGGCTCCACACTGCCTCACGAGTCACGTCAGCCGCCCCCCTCCCCAATCACAGGCACCAAATGCTTCTGTCAACGGTGATGCCCCCACCACGCTGCCAAAAGGGAGTATTTCTGTCATCAAACGCCTCACGTCAATCGCCGCCACATTCCTCCTTAACCGCTTTCGCTGCCCCTTCTAATTTGTTGCTGCACTTTCTGTTTTTCCGTCACTGGATGCAGGGTTGAGAGAAATCGGGAGGGGCAATCCAAATCTGGAGATGTATCGGAATTCCATATCTAAAGAAGGGGAGGGGGAGATTGTCAAAGATGAATAAAGAGAGGGGAAATCTGGGGGGTCGGGGTCGGTTGAGGAAGAAGGGAGAAGAATTTTTTTGGAGATGGATCTCCAGATCTAATTGAAAAAGGGCGAAGGAGAGAAGAGAGATGGGGGGAGATGGTTTGTCAAAGACGAAGATGAAGAAGAAGAGAGGGAAGAAGGATCTGTCCTTGAAAAATAGGAAATTGCGAGGTGGGTGGGTTTGAATGATTGAAGAAGAAAGAGGAGATGAAGGTTTGGGGGTGTGAGGAAGAAGATGTATGGTCTGGGAGGTGACAAAGTAATGGGGATGGTGGGAATGTGGGAAGAAATTCGATTGGTGGGTAGGTGGGGTAGTACTTATGATGGGTTGGGTAGGTGTAAATATGAAGGGTAATGTAGTCATTTGAAGTGCAGAAAGTTGGTAAATTAGGGAAGTGGGAAGATTCAAAAGGGACGGAGGGAGTAAAAAACTCGGAGGAGGTTTCTGTTAGACCCTTGATGTATTGTTTCATTTACTTACCAAAACTTTATAGAAAGTAAGAACTAAGAAGCAAGGATATTTTAATGTGTCATTCTAATTTTGTCTATTAAATACACAAAGCTTAAACATTGTCAAAAATTATTATTTCAGATCCATTGGCAATGCCCCTTATTTAGATAGGGGTACAACTATCACATCACAATTAAAAAGGTAAGGAGATATCATTTTCAATCCTACCAAAATCAATACCATCATTTGATCATAAAAGGGAAATGGAGCAATAAGTGTACAACAAAAATTAATTAAAGCTTCAAAAGGAAACTAAGAACAAATATTCCAAAGTAATTGTGTCTCTTTTTGTGTTAATTCTGCATGTGGCATTACACATACAGGACATTAAAATCTCATAGAGTATCAATTAGCAAATGTGATGGTAACTTGATGTATTTTTGCTCAAGGACAAACATACCATCAACATTATTATGTACGCGTATGTCAAAGAGATCTTATAAACAATTATACTTACAAATAAGGCAAGGAGTTGTATTTTAGGATTTTTACTCCCAAGACGTTTCTTGATGATCTTGAGTGCATCTTTCGCTTGCCTGCATTTTAAAAGAAAAAACAAGGTATTACAACAACAACCCAATATGATCCCGACTCAGTTGCATTTGGGGGTCAAGATGTACACACTCTTACCTTAATAAACTAAGAAACTATTTCGATTAGATTTACTCCATCCGTCCCTTTGAATTCTTTACACTTGCCATTTTGGTTGTGTCATTTGATTCTTAACACTTCCAAATTTAGCATTATTAATGATTTAAAAGTCTTTTTTACCCTTCTGTACACCTATCACATCATCTCTAGCATCTCACCCACCTTACTTAAAATAATCATATTGTCAAGGGAAAATTAGGAAAGAAACTAACATTCTCACATTTGCCTGAAACTCTGTGAAATCTTCTATGTCAATAATCCAAAGGGAGAAAGGAGTAAAATACAAGGATGAGCTAAAAGCTATAAAACAGTGAATCGTCTAAGTTGGACAATAGTTTATAATGCAAAGCAAACAACTTGGTCCATGCTGTCAAAAGAGAACAAATCGTTCAAAGAATTCAAATAAAATGAAATTACAAAAGTGTGGCACCCATTGTTGTAAATATTTCAGTCTACTCTATCTTTTCTAGGTACTCAGATGTCCTGGCTTGTTCGGTCATTTTCCTCACTTAGGGCTTGTTCTAGTTAACTTATTCTTATTACTTATTCTTGTTGGAATCAAATCAGAAAATTTCAGAACAGAGCTAGAAAAATTCAGAAAAATTCAAATGAGACTAGGTCGGAAACATATACAATTTCAGTTGTAATTAGATCATACCAAAGAGATTCAGATTGAACGTATCAGACCATAATAAATTTTGAACCAAACCGATTAGATCAGACGAAAAGAACAAGCCCTTAGGCACCACATAACTCCACCTCCTCCACTTCTCTCCAGCCTAACCCCAAGATGTTCTCGCCTATGCACCTGCCCACTTTTACACTATGGTGCCAACCATATACGGAGTATATTTTTATAACTTAGCATCTCAAATCAGGTTTGCACTATAACGGAGTTCACTTTAACTTTTAGAGTATTCCATACTATTGCTATGGTCTCTTATAATGATGTAATGCCCAAGTTTTATACAATCTCATGTTATGCTTTAGGACTCCATGTATGCCTCTTCTTTTAAGAGAAGATTATATTATTGCAAACTAAGGGGGTAACATCTAGAGAACAAAAAGCAGAGCAGTATATATCATATTAGTTGATAAGTTCAATGAAAGGCTAAACGCAAAGTTGTAAAAAAGAGAAGTTCGAAACAATGTTGGTGATTGTGTCTTGAGGCTACATCACAAAATGCGACTAAGCAATTTTTACTAGAAATGTGCAATGAGGCTATCCTTAAAATGAGGCAATGGTGAGGCTTACACAATATGGGATTGAAAGAGACGCCTCATGATACAATGCAATGAAGCACAGTTAAGGCTTTAGCAATATTTTCTACTAGAATTTTTTTATCCCAGATTTTAGTTCTTATTTTTGAAAAACTATATTTTAATTGAGTTTGGGCCACATTTTAAAAAGTAGTCTGCTAGTTGCAAATTGTCCTTAGAGTATGAATGCAGGTGCAACTTCAGAAGCAACTAAGCAAAAGCAAGTACCATGTAACCGAGATAAGTTTGTCCATCACCAGAAATTCCAACCCCTAGTAGCTGAAAAATTAATTATAAGTTTTGTTAGAACATACCCAGGGTTCATGTTAATGATATCACACAGCTCGATGTTAATTGCCCAGTCAGGACCAATCAGCATGTCGCTTGTGGCCCTCTCAGCACAATCCACCGCACTGTTCGCCATTTCTTGTCAAATCTTTAACCTTCTTTAAACTTCCACACCTTTGATCTCCCTATTAAGACGCCAATCCATACAAATTCAGGCATTTTATCTCTCCCATCAAAACATACAGTTCAGCTCAAATACATACAAGAACTCAAATGATATCAAAATCACAAACAGGTAGATAACCTGTACAATCCAGGTGGATTATTCACAGTTACCGAGTGTATTGAATTCACTAATTGAAGAGCTAAAACCGGACACGAGCAAAAGAACTTCGAAGTCCAGAAATCAACTACGATAAAACAGAAAGAGTCCGGATCAATAAAACCCTCAAAATCGCTCTGTTTCTCGCAATGAAATCGATAAGAAATCCACAACAGAGATTATCCAAAACTCAGACATGGAAATTCAAATCATCAGATTCAAAAGCCGAAAAGGAGATGGCAGGATCTTCACTGCGAAAATGAATAATGGCCAGTACCTGTTTGAAGGTAAAGAGAAATGTGGACTTCCCTAATGCTGAAAGAGGAGAGATGGGTTTTTCTACGTCTTTCCGCGTGTTGTACGGTGTGAACTGTAAGGCAGTACTTTTCTAACGACTCTTCTACTCCGTTTTTTTTTTGTTAAAACCATGTTCCGAACTCAGTGATTAATTCTCATCAATGGAGTTATAAGTGGTTTAAGTGGTCACATTAGCCATGATCTCAAGGTCACCACAAGTCTCTTCTATCAATTGTGTTTGGTTAATGACTAATCTATCTAAGAGAATGAGCCTCATCCCCACCAATGGACCCTTAGGCCTGGCAAGAGGTCACTAAAGGTGTTCGGTATAAAGTAAAGTGAATTTGGTATCAAAAATAAGTTATGTGGTATTTTGGCAACGAGGATAACGTCACTCCTTGTCTTTTGGTACCACTAAAAATCGGTAAGAGCATGTATATGTTTGTCGATCACACCGTGTCTCTCTCTCCCTTCTCTCCATGTATATTAAGGAGTATTTAAAAAAATATTTTTATTCAATAACTACAACATATATAAACACACAAACATATATTTCTTTCACATCCATTTTAAACTTCTCTCTCTCTCTAAATCTAATTTTTACTTTTAACAAAAACTAAATGAATTTGATTTTGTATATTATTCTTTATTTAATACCAAGTATAAGGCATGTGTTATTTGCTATATATACTCTAATATCAATTTAATTTAGAGTGCCATCTTATTTTTTAAATTTTTTTAATTATGGTTTCTATCTTTTAATTAATTTTTACTTTTGTTCGTAGATTTTAAAATCAACTTAAACTGTATAATATTAGTTTAATTCTTATTTTTACTCCCTACAAAAAAGTAAAAGGATTTATTTTTGTATGTTATTTTCTATTTAGTTTTGTAATGTGTTATGTTGTTTCCAGTTTGTAATTTAAAATCATTTTAAATTAATGAGTGTCATCGTTTTTCTAGTTATTTAAAAAAATAGTTGTATTAAGTTGTATTAAGTTGGCGAATTGTTATATATTTTAGTGTAATTGGAAAAACTATGACCAATGGTATCCTAATAATCATCAAAGAAGTTTGGTGGTGCGGAGTGCACGCTTCATTGAGTTTATTACGATAAAAATCCAGTCTTATCGGGGGTTCCAAGGGGGCAATACCCCTTTGGCGGGGTTTGGGGGCAGCGCTCCCGAGCAGGGTTCAAGGGGCGGCAGCCCCTGCGGGGTCCAAGGGGCAGAGCCCCTGGCTGGGATCGAGATGCTATGTTATTTTGGGCAAAGTGCTATGTTAAAAAATTCAATTAGAATTTTATTTTTTGAATTTTCTTTAAAAGAAAAATCCCTAAGGATAGTGCCGATTTTTTGAAGAGTTCCGCGCGAAGGATCACATGTCTTGGGTTAGAGATGCGTTCGCGTCTCCTCTTCTCACTGCAACTCCATAAATTCCCGTGTATCCATGGTCGAAGGGTGTTCGGATTTTCATAGCAATTTTCATATTTCGTTCTTGATACTTTCGAGTTTTATCCTATTGAATTTTGGATTGAACGACCAAAATATTCAATCTGAAAGTGTTTTACACGACTCTCGATTCATCCAAGTTTTCGTTGATATCCCCAACAAGAATTGGCATATGTACACCTCCACTTGCATCGGGAATAGTATCCATACTTTATTTAAAAAGACATGGAGTTTTTTCCGCTCATGCGTTATTACATTAACAAATGACAATTGTTCACTTAAAATGGTAAGTTTCCGAAAATATAATATTAATGATTAAAAACGTACGCATGTGGTTAATTTTCCATGCATTATTACATTTACAAAATGGTAAGTGTTCACTTAAAATAGTAATTTTTATTACATTAACAAATGACAATTGTTCACTTAAAATGGTAAGTTTCCGAAAATATAATAATAATTATCAAAAACTTAAGCATGTGCTTAATTTTCCATGCGTTTACATTTACAAATGGCAAGTTAATTATGATGAAGTTAAAATTAATATTACTTTTTACACATAATGGCTTTACAAACGTGAAATTATTAATCTAAAAAATAATTATTATTATTAATCTAAAAAAATTAATTTCATATGTAATAAGTTGCCTCTTTTTTTGGTACACTCCATACAGTTCCTTTTGAACATTAATTTTAACCTCTTTTTTATGATGTAGGGGCATTCGGAATTTGTACCTTTTTTATCACACAATATTTTAATACCGTAAGTAACTGTCATTTTTATACACCCAATTTCGCCAAAACAAATAATTGGAAATAATTAAAAAAGGTAATTTATACAATTATATACCCAATTTCACAAAAAAGATAATTAGAAATGATTAAAAAAGATAAGTCTCAATTTCCTTTTGAAAACGAATAGTTTTATCTCCGATTTTTTAAAATTACTTTTTAAAAACGTGATATTATTAATCTAAAAAATTATTATTATTATTATTATTATTAATCTAAAAAATGGTTTAAAAGCTATAATAAATACACTTCCTTTTTTATCACACGGTAATTATCTGTTTTAACACATAATCATTTTAAAAAGGAATTTCGCGATGCTAATTATATGGAGTGTGACTTAATTATAAATGTAATTATTATATTTATAGTAATTAATATATTAAAAAGTAAAATCTAACATACATTATTAACGTAAGTTTTAAATAAAGGTAATTTCCTTTTTAAAAAATATAAAAAGGAATTTGGTGATGCTGTTTATATGGAGTGTGACTTAATTATATATATATATATATTTATTATATTTATAGTAATTAACGTATAGCATTAAAAATTAAAATCTAACATACATTATTAACGTAAGTTTTAAATTTTAAATAAAGGTAATAACGTATTGCCTATTATACAATTCCAAATCGTAAGTTTTAAATAAAGGTAAGTTATACAATTGTAAAACCTAAGATTTAGAAAATTTGAAATAATTAAAAAAGTAACTTATACAATTATACAGTGAGTTATGTTTAATAAATAATTATGGTAAGAATAATTATTTTATTCTTACCAAATTATTTTGTGGCAATTACACACCAAGATTTGTAAATTTTATTATACATCAACCAAATTTTATTACAATTACATATGTTATAAATACGGTACTTTTCCAGGCCAAGGAAGTAAGATTAATCAAGGTGTGTTTTAATTTGGTGCTTCAACATCGCTTTTTGTATGAACATGGGGATCATAACCGCTTTAAAGGATGTTGGTGAGAGGTCAGGACTATTGATGATGAAACTAAGAGCGGTAAGAGTTTACCACGTTCCTGCTCATTTTCGAGGGCTGGAATCATTGGATATTATTTTTCACGACTCAGAGGTAGTTCTACATTATTTTATATTTTACATATAATAAATCTTTTTTTAAAAAAATTAAATTTAATTATATGTAAATATTTTATTGGATGTCGTCGATTCCATAAATGAATATATGACAGCGATGAATCCAAGCAGCGAGTCTCGAGCATACCTTAGTTCTGACAAAGTTGAGAACTCGGATTGCATTTCAAATTTTTTCGGTGACCTATTCTCTCCCGAATTCTTAAATAAGATTCACGCTTCTGGTGTACCGAATCATGATCTAACTCTGAAGGTAGACACGCCTATTATGTTGTTGAGAAATATTGCCCATTCAATGAGTTAATGTAATGGTACATAGTTGATGGTAACCTGATTGGCTAATCACTTAATACAAGGAAGAATATTATTAGGAAGTCACATGGGTGAAGAAGTCGTTATTCCAATATTATGAGGGTGTTTGGGAGTGTGGTGAGTTATGTAAAAGTAGAAGTCATAATTTAGAAGCAGAAAGCATGTATTTGTAGCTTTGCTAGAAAGCACTTCTAGACCTTAATTTTAACTTCTAAAGTCTTAATTTATAAACTAAAGCAGATTAGCAAACATTTAAAATTGTGTTTTAGTAAAGTAGAAGCTATAAGTTATTTTTAAATGCAATCCCAAACACCCTCTATCATTAACACCATCCGATTCAAGAATTCCATTCAAATTTCAAAGAAGACAATTTCCCGTGGTTACTTCGTACGCAATGGCGATTAACAAGAGCCAGAGACAATCTCTAAAACATGTTGGAGTATTGTTACGGAAACCTGTGTTTAGTTATGAAAAACTTTATGCTACAGTTTCAAGAGTAACTAATCGTAGTGGGTTGAAGATTCTGATATGCAATGAAGACAATATTCCCACCAATTGTATAAATAATGTAGTCTATAAAAAGTCTTTCGAAATTTGTAAAGCAGTGATGTTATTTACCTTAAAATAATATAATTTCTATATTCTATTGCATCTCATTCTTATCATTGAAATATGATTTGAATTTAATAACATAAAAATGACCCGTGCAACGCACTGGTGTAATACTAGTAAAGTTAGTAAAATCTGATGTGGCACTAATGTGGATGAGAGAAATAATGCAGTAAAAAAGTAAGTGTGGTATGTACATCCTCCACTCTAATAGGAAGTACAATAGATTTTAGTCGAAGATTGATGGTAAAAAATGTAGTTTGCACATGATACATGTAAATGGAGTCTTATCCCTTTGGCACTCATTGTCTTTGTCAAATGTGCAACGTCCACCGACACAATCTAAGCTTTAGGCCGAAGTCGTATGCTCAGTAGGTGAATAGGTTTTCAGAATATCTATGTACACCCGACTATAATTAGAGCTAGATACATAAGGCGATTATTCATTTTAAATCAACACGATATTCGTTTTGAATCAATAAAATATTCATTTTAGGCCTTGTTTGGATGTTGGCTGTCACCCGTTGGCTTTTTGCATCAGCTGTCCTAAATAGATGTTAATTTAGTTGGTTTGACCGGTAAGATGAGTTGGCTGATCCTTAAAAATGTTATGCAAAATTAGCTGTTTGAAAATAGTTGTTTCGATACACACACACACATACTCTCTCACACACACACGATATTTATTTTTTATTTTCGTACATGTAAAAATTAAATCGTTAATATGTGGAGTATAAAATTTCATTTTCATACAATTCATAAGAAATTATTAATATATAACTTTTTAATGATTTTTACTTTTGATTTTCTCATTTTTTTTTGAAATTTTAAAATTTTAAACTTTTTTTAAATTTTTTGAATTTTTTTAACTTTTATTTTTATTTTTTTACATATATTATAAAATATATTTCAATAAAAATGATTCAAAAAATAATTTTTTCTAAAAGCCAAGTTCAAATGTTACTCCCCTTGGCTTTTCGAATTTTGGCATTTCGGATCAAAAAGTCAAGTGAAAAAGCCATTAGTTAAACAATGTTTTTGGCACCTAACAAAATTCAGATTTGTTATTCCAAGATATTAAAATTCCCTTAAATATAGTTTCAATATCTTTTGGTTTGTGAGATATCAGCCCGGGGTTTGACATTTCCATCATTCATCGACACCTTCATAAAGACTACCACCATCCTTATCCACACGTTGTCGTTCATTCTTGGGTACGGGTAATGCTCATCTATTACTAAAATCAGTGAGTATGCTTTTGAATCTCTCTCAACACTTCTATTTCAGATTTCAGAACTCATATTATTTTGCATAAGTTCTCTAATTGATCATTTAAAATTGGACTTTTCTATATTTAATCCTCTATTATCAAATATGTCGTGTTGGTGTTAAACTGAGAACTAAAAGTGAAATTTCACATGGGGCCTTCATCCTTTTTTGCCATAATCGATGCCAGATGTCGCTGCAGATTCATTGTCTATTCACTAAAGTCGTTGTCTATTGTAACCATAGTCCACAACAGACGTCGCTGGTCAGAATCCAATCGTGCAGCCATAGTCATTATTGTCTGTTGTTTGTCGAAACGACATAAGAATACATGGTCGGACCTAGATTTGGTATCAAATTACACGCTTTGCTCAAATTCAACACTAATATGTGATGTCAAGCAAAGAACTAACTAAGAAAAGATACTCATAAATAAACGACCACAAACATAATAATTGATAATAGAGAACTAAATATGAAAAACTATTAATTTTTAATGATTAATTATGAAATTTGTTGTATTATTAATTTATAAGTTTTAAGAGGGAGAAAATTTTAAATACGAGTTCAATATCAAGAAATTATTAAAATAAGACATTCATTTTTTGACAAAAAAATAAGACATTCATGTTTTAATTTATTTTAAAAATAGAAGTTACAATGTCAGTATATAATATTTAAAAATGCTATAGAATATTAATATGGTACCACATTGTCATAGTACATATATTATTTTTTAGGAAAAATTATCTTAAATAATCCCACTTTTCACGTTTTTTTAAAATAACACACTTTTCACTGTCACCGTAAATAATTTGACCTTTCCACATGCATGCGAGTTTGGGCCGCCGTTAAAAAGCTAACCGTTACTTAACACAATAATTTGAAAATGTTTGTTTTCATAAATAAATGAAATGTGGGATTATTTTAGGCAAATTTACTTTTTTTCTTTTTTTAATTTTAATTTAAAAAATTATGTTTTAAAAAATATAACAGTACACTCTTGTCATAGATTGTCTCAGTTTTTTTAAAAATATAACGATTTAATTTTTTTATATTCTGAGGGAAATATAATATTGGATTATCGAAAAAACTTCAAATTATCTCTCGAGAAAGAAATTGCAATACAAAAAATTTGTACTGAGTTATAAAATTAATTAGTGCCGCTTTGGAGAAAAAAATATTGTGCCATTTTTCACAATTTTTAAATTATTATTTTGGAGAAAACATTTGTAGTGAATTATTGAAAAAAATCACAAGTTGAGAAGTTATATTTTCAAAAAAATAATATGGGTAATAGAAGATTACCAATAAACATTTCAGAATGTTGTTACTTGTTAATGAAAAGAAATCCAGTACAACAAACAATACAGTGAGTTATAAAAATAAAAGTTTCTTTCAAAAGAAAAAAATATTGTGTTAATTTCACAACTGTTGTAATGTTGTTTTGCAAAAAATATTTATATAGAATTATCGAAAATATTTACAAGTTTTGTAGTACCGTTTAAAAAAAATTAATTGTATAGTATCAAGAAATAATTCGAAGTATCGTTCAAGGTAAATAATTACAACTTACAAAAAAATATAGTGAGTTATGAAATAATAAATTAGCTCCATTATGTAGAATAATATATTGTTAAATTATTTTGAGATTATCGATCATTGAAAAAAATAATTAGTTTCACTCTAAAAAACACTTAAATTTGGTAGAGTATTATTTATAAAAACATTTATAAAAATATATTTAAATTTAATGTTAAAAATTTAAAAAAAAAAAAGACAATTTACCTAACATAATTTCACTTTTCATTTATTTGCAAAAATAGTCTTTTCTAAAATTGTGTTAAATGACCGTTAGTTTTTTAAAAACGATTATAACTCGTAGACATATGAAAATGTGGATTATTTCTAGAGATTTTGAAAAATGAGATTATTTTTGAAAGAATACAAAAATAAAAAAGATTATTTGAAATAATTTTTTCCTATTTTACAATAAAAATATGAATTAAGCTAGGGGTACACCAATATGGGATACCCCAAGTGTACACCAAGCCAACACAGACATAAAGTGTCTGTGTTGCACAGACATTTTGTGTCTGTGTGTGTCTGTGTTGGCTTGGTGTACACTTGGGGTACCCCATGTTGGTGTACCCCTAGCATTGCCCTAAAAATATAGGAAAATGCTAGGGTGCCACCACATGGGTGCTACCATGGGTGCACCCATGCTTCGCACAGACAAACATAGACGATAATTGTCTGTGTCGCACAGACAATTATCATCTGTGTTTTTCTGTACGAAGCATGGGTGCAGCCATGGTAGCACCCATGTGGTCCAAAAATATATCACTCCCATTTGGTCAAAAATTTACTATAAAACTCTTCATATCCTTCCTTCACAAATCATTTTGGTTCGACAAGTACTATTTTGGAGAGAACGGAGTACTTGTTCAACAAACATTTTTGTTCTTTCACTTTCGTTCCCTAACTTGCTCCGACGGAACTTTAGCCGTCGATCTGATCGGAGCTCTGACGGACGATGGAGAACGCGGACATCTTTGGATCTTCGACGGCGCCTCTGACTTGGCATGACTTCCTCGAGCGCATGCGGCAGCCTTCCGCTGCTGATTTCGTCAAAGCCATCAAAAGGTACTAAGATGCTTGGGCTAATACATGTTCCTTTCGTTATTGTATCGTTCCCTGTAAACTTGTAATTTTGTTTTGTTTTGTTGTCTCGAAATAAACTTTCTTCATTCACCCTCCCATTTTTTGAAAATATTGCCCTCATAACTCTGTTTTCTTTAATTCTCTCCAAACATTTAGAATTTCGGAAGTAAAGGATTACAGCTTTTGATTAAAATAATAAGTGTTCCATTATAGATGGAGTGAATTATTAATACACCATTTGTGCTAGTTATGTGCCCGTTCTTTTACACTGGATATAGCCCCTCTATCTCAAATTCTCAAGTTTAAGCTTTCCTTACTAGGTTATCCTAAAATAAAGTTTGCACCTTTTTACTTTCCAATTAAAGAAGGGTTTTGCTAGGGTACCCCACTTGGTATACACCAAGGCAAAAACACACACACACTCACTCAATGTTTGTGCACACAAAGACACTCAATGTCTGTGTGTGTGTGTCTGTTTTTGCCTAGGTGTGTGCACCAAGTGAGGCACCTCTAATATTTTTCATTAAAGAATGAAATATATGTGGATCACAATGTTTCCCCCTCTCTTTTACACACATTTCAACCACATTTTTTAACTCTTCAACAATTTTCTTAAATTCCATGAAGTTGAACTGTACGCTTCATTTTGGGACGGAGAGTGTATAATTCATATGCTCTAGTGTGTGAGGGAGTGTAGGATCATGTGAAACCCAAGAAAGTAGCTTCCTAGGACTTCCCCAAACATATGATATCATATATGTGAATTGTTATACATATAGGTCACTAATACAATATGAGTTTGAATAAACATTAAAATCTCTCACAAGTAAAAATATTAATCTAGACTTGATAAAGGACTTAGATGGCTCCTCATTTTTTATGAATATACTACAAGACGATGTTGCTTGGATCATATGTTAAAAGTTAAAGTATTCAAATTGTGCCGCAGAACAATGTTGAATTCTTGTGGAAAACTTCATCTACTTGAGTATGGACCCAGAATGCAGGGAACTAGTTCTGATCATTTTGAAGAAGGGCAGTTTCTAGACAGCCTAATTGGCGCTGGGCCGCCTAAGAGAAAATCTGGAAGGCCTCTTTTAGAACACTGATTCTAAATGAAATTGCAAAGTTTTATCTATTATGATTAGAATGTTTTGGTAAACTTGGGAAGATCTTAAAAACACTACAGTCTCCTCCATTCTAAATTTAATATGAAGATTGGGCAAAAAGAGCTATAAAATGTTGAGAAGTAGTTACATCACAACAACAAATTCAGAATAGTCCCAACTTAGTTGGGTCAAAATGTACGTGGCCTTACCCCTGTAAAAACAGAAGGGTTGTTCTTTTAGTCCACTGAAAGGTTGTTCCGTTAGATCCTTGATGCATCGTTGCATTTATTGCCTAAAATTTCATTGAGAAGTAACGTTGCTTAAAAATAATAGTGTAAAAATCTAAATTGGAAAGTGTATGTGCTTTGTTTGATCTACATTTTAATGTGTATATTTTGAAAGCAATATAGTTTAATCAATTTGGCATTTGTCATATGCCCATCTTCTCAAATGAAACCCAAGAAAGAACTCACTGCATTCAAATGATATAATTACACTTGACAAGCATGTAAATTATTTTCAACTACCCCTAAAGATCTTGAGAAGAATTAGATGTTCCATGAGGTTTATGGAGATAGTATATTGTACTTGTGAAATAACAAAGATGGCTGTTTGGTTGAGGTGTTACAATTTTGCTCTTACTTTTTAATTGGAAGAGTTAAAGTACATTTTCGTTTGGGGGTAAAAGAGTCTATAGAACATTTCTAAAATTACTATATAAAAAGTGGACAAATACAAATGAGCATATCATTCATTTTCTTCAGAATGAATGACTATCCATTAAAGCCAAGCCTATTTGTCTGGCTAGACACTTCCTAGACTGCATTTTATCCATAATAAGATTTATCTTAAGTCTATATTCTCATTTATTAATCCATGTGCCCATATATATATGTGTGTGTGTGTGTGTGTATGCAGATATGTAATTTTTGCATACATTGGACCTTGTTTAGCAGTCTTTGAATAAACTGTTTTCAATATTTGCAGTTTCATAGTATCATTTTCAAACAATGCTCCAGATCCAGAGAGAGACAGTAGAGCTGTGCAGGAGTTTCTTGGCAACATGGAAGCTGCTTTCCGAGCCCATTCACTTTGGGCTGGCTGTTCTGAGGAGGAGTTAGATAGTGCAGGTGAAGTGAGTACATTCTTTCCATTCTTTCTGCTCATGTGGGTGAATTGAGTACTTCATTTCCAGTATGTTTACTCCACCCCTACCCATTAGGTTAGTTTGTGTTTCAAATGTTATTCATGTTGGCCCCATGATGCATTCTGTGAAGAGGCTATCTCTTATTTTTACTCCATCCCTACCCATTAGGTCAGTTTGTCTTTCAAATGTTATACGTGTTGGCCCCATGATGCATTCACAAAGAGGCTATCGGCATTGGTTAGATCACAAGACAAGGAAAAAAGCACGAATTAGTTTATGATTTTTATCTGCAATCTTTAAATAAATGTTTTAGTTAGTTGTTCCTTAAACATTTGGTAATCCTTAAACCTCATAGGAGTGGATTGTAGTTATAGTTTTATCACTGAGTTAAGTCAATTTTTGTATTTGCACTGCAAAAATTCATAGTCTAATGAGGCATTGATTTCAGTATAACAAAAGGGAGGTCACGAGATATCAGTCAGGTTTGTTGGAATTATCCATCTCCAGCCTCATTCCTTGCAAGTAACCAGTGATGTTTGAAGCCTTTATTGTTGTTCTGTTGCCAGTGACACATGCCTCCCTTCTCAAAATCTTTAAATAGCATTTATAACAGACACTATACATAACCACGAGAAATTGGGAACACAATGGATTCCTTCTTCACCAGTCAGACAAACTTCCTCACTACGGCCATGTTCTCTTCAACTTATTCTTATTACTTACTCCCTCCATCCCGAAATTATCTTCTAGGGTTGACTTGTTACAATTTTGAATAAAGTGGAATGTTGGTGGTTGTGATTTGTGCAGAGGAGAGAGAATTGATATGGACTACATATTTGATTCCTTAAAAGGAAAGAGGAAAATTTTTTTGGGACAAACCAAATAGGAAAGAAGGAAGATAAATATGGTACGGAGGGAGTATTACTTTTTCTTATTGGAATTAGATCATACCAGATAAGGTCAGAAATAGTTTTAAATATAACTATATTCAGATCAGACTAGACCAGATCAGATAAAAACTTGTTCCAATCAGATTAGAACTATTCAGATTAGGTGAAAACAATGGCCATGTTTTCTTGGTTCTGATTTGATTGGAATAAGTTCAGATCTGGTCTGATCTGATTTGAATGTAGTTATATTTAAAGGTATTTTTGATGTAGTCTGATTTGTTTTGATTCCAATAAGACTAAGTAATAAGTAAAAAAAATAAGTTGAGGAGAACATGGCCAATATGGCCTAACTCCACTAGTGGTGTGTACGCAAGCACTCAAATGCCATTAAACATAGATGACTTAGCACTAGAAATCCACAATCAATGTACACTAAACTAAACTTACTTTATATATCTGGCAAAGAATATCAGTAAACTTGGTTAGACTGTTGTGATATATATTTCCTAAACACACAAATGCCACGACAAAAATAGCTCGCATTAGTCCCTTTCAACATGACATGAGAAACACGATTATGGCACAAACCCTCCCTTAACATGCCCAATTTTCAAGTCGTTTATGATCATTGTGAAGCAATAACCTACGAGCAAGCTTGCAAACGTGAAAAAACACGGCTAAAACAATGAGCATATTGTCGAATTCTAGGTGATGCTAGAATGGAGATATGTTTATTTGTTATACTACATGTCACCAGCCTATTAGGGATGACAAAAAAGGACGAATGTGATTTCCTCTTGTCATTGGTGTGTGGTCAGAGATCCAGAGTGGAAAGGAAGAGGGATAAAAAAACAAAGAAAATATACAAATCAATCACTTCATTTGTCGAATGCAACATCATCTCTCTTAGGCTTAGCGGTCAAGCCTGTTCTCGAGGCTCAGATTCGAAAACCTGAACATTGCATTGAATTGATGCAAAAGGGTTCAGATCCCAACACTCTGTACGCTAGCAAGTGTGTTTTAATGTATGCATGGGGGGGATCCCAAAATGTCTGTGTTTCTTTTATTCCTTATTATCCACAGACCGCAAAACACATTGGAACTTCCCTCCAATTGTTTTTGTGTTAAATCTTTTGACTGTTTTCTTAACGAATTATACTGTTGTATTTTCTTGAACATTTTTTTCTGCTTTATGATATCTATTTTTCTAAACACAGGGGTTGGAGAAATATGTCATGACAAAGCTTTATCCACTTGTTTTTGCTTCACTTCCTGAAGAAAAGAAAGTTGATGAACAACTTCATGAAAAGATTGCTTTGATTCAACATTTTGTCCGCCCGGAGAATTTGGAAATCAAGCCAGTTTTTCAAAATGAAACGTCATGGCTGGTGAGTGAAATAAATTAATGAAAAACCTCAATTGTTACACAAGTGGTTGGGATGCCTTGCTTTAACGGATCTTCCTAACATGTTATATAATGTTTATCCATAATTTCAGAGCAATTGTCACCTAACTTTGTTGTTTATATCACATGGATACAATTGAAATGTTGAGCCGGGGGTATACTGTGCTATACTGTGTTCTCTTCCATATTTTTGTGCAGGTGGAGCCGGGGGTCTCTTGGAAACAGCCTCCCTACTTCCGAGTAGGGGCAAGGTCTGCGTACACACACCCTCCCCAGACCCTACTGTTGTGGGATTCAATTGGGTTGTTGTTGTTGTTGTTGTTGCTATTTAGTTGCTGCGTAGCAAATGCCTTCCACTAGACTATTGAATCTCTGAATATTCAATATTTTCCGCTCAAATGCAGAACCTTACGGATGCACTTTTCATGACATCATCTTATCAACATGGAATGTCTTTTATTTCTTTTCATGTTTGATACTATGGCTTGCTTGACGTACTTGTATTAGCTTTATGGTGCTGCTAAGGGTTGTGTGACTGTGTTAGAAGTGTTGTCTACTTGTCTCTTGTCAATACAACAAGCCATTATATTGGCTTGACCAAGAAACAAACAACAGATAAATCCTTTGTAGAGCACAATTTTGTTTTATGGGGATAATAGAATAAGCGATTAAGAGCTTTCTTGTCCATGCACTACCAGGACTAGTTGCTCATTTACTCGTTGTGAGGTTTCTGGGAACAAGTCCTCTAGCTGTGGATTATCTATTGTCTAATCTCTGAGTGATACCTAAATGTGGAGGACCTTGTCAACCATGAGGGTCAGTAAGCTCCCTTTGGCAAGCATACCCTCATTCATGTGGACATGCTCAATCGAAGCAGAAGATAATCCCTTAGGTGATCTACTGTTATACCCGAGACCCGGGGTCTTATCACGTTGCTATTTTAGAGGAGTTATGGGGAGGCGAGGGGGAAATGGGGTGGCCGAAATATTATGGGGCAAAAGGGGAGTTCTTTTGGTGTTTTTTTTTATGAAGAAAAAGAAGAGGTTTAGGAAGAGAATATGGGGAGGCACGAAATGAGGGAATAAAATAGGAGGGGATAAACCAAGTTGGTGTTAAGAGATATGACACACTCTTATCTTAACTTGGGGTTTGAATCTAGAATTCAATCAAGATATGACACACTTAATTAAATATCTAGAACCTAAAACTCACACTTAAGATAACCACTCTTAAGATATAGATTTAGGAATTTAAATAGCAAACACAACAAGTGTATTACTAAATGGAAAATGGAATTACAATATGAGTCTCACAAAATGGCCAAAGGCCGAAATAAATACACACACATAGAGGGGAAACTTCCCAGAAACATCCACTCACAAATCACAAGAATAATATCCATTTGTTTATGTTTTCTTAATGGAATGAAATCAGGGATTTGGTCTTTGATTTTCATGGCTGGTGGCTTGTCCTTTAGTGAGGAAAATCACAAGGAAATAAGTGATGATTCTTGGGAAATAATGGGGGACAAAGGGGATGGGTGATGGTTGGTTTTATTGGCCTTATATTGGGTCATTCATGGAAGGTATGTGGGGACTGATTTGGTGGGTGGAGTGTCAATAAACTCACAAAAGTCTTTTGTCCTTTTGTTATTGTTTATCCAGCCTAGGTGGGAGACACAAGGGGGACAATGGTTGGTCAATGTTGGGGAATAAAAGAGGGGTTGTTTTTGGCCCCCCTAGTTTCGGCCTTACATGGGGACAAAGAGGGGCTTGATTAGGTTTGTGGTTTGACATGAGTTTTGGTCTTTTATGTTTTAATTCAATGAACAAAATCATGTGGGGTATGTTGATGGGTTGTAGTTTCGGCCAGAGGGAGAGAAGAAGGAAGAGGAGAGGAGATTAGGGTTTTGGTGTTGTTTTGGATTTTGGGGTTTTGGTGGAGCTATCCAGGGGTACATCATCTACTGTGGCAAAGTGTCCAATTTGACCCATCCTTGGACTGAACGGAATGATGCTTGTGTTATGGGTTGTTATTTTTGTTTAGATATATATTGATATACATATCACTTTGGTAATCTAGGATGGATTATTGGCATTCTTTGAGATTTGTTGTGTTGAAAAAGATGGAGAGGGAAGGGCGAATTGTTTGTAGAGGGAGGAAAATGTAAGACTTCAAAAGACGATTTTACATTTGATTCAATGGAGTAAAGAGGAATTATAAGATTTATAAAATATTGTTTTACATTATCATACAAATTGTATAAAAATATTTTATTTGATATAAGTTTTGCTGTAAAAAGGAAATATATAAGATTGCCCGCTTGAGAGAACAGAAGACAAGAGATGTTGACATGGTAAGATGAATGCCAAAGAGTTCTAGTTAAAGAGTGTGAAATGAAGGAAAGATGGAGGTCATACTTTGACAAGCTATCTATGAAGGATGTAGGTTCAAGTATGCACAATTATTGATAAGATCACACGCGCAGCACACACACATTGTATGTATGGACTATGAAGGATGTAGGTTCAAGTATGCACAATTATTTACTCCTTCCGTCCATAAAAAGAGTTCAGTTTCAAAAAGTAAAACCATTAGAAAGTACTAATTATAACTACTCCCTCTGTCCCGCTCCGACACTTAAGGCTGGCAAAAGTGCAAAACCCAATGGGACGGAGGGAGTGTATTTTAAAATCTATTTTGTTATACTTAATTTTGAAATATTTAACATGTTTGTGATTTCATACAAAAATATCAAATATAATGAAAATTAGTTTGCTTTTTTCAAGTATGACTCTTTTTGGGACAAAAATATGTTTAAAACCATGACTCTTTCTATAGGATGGCGGGTCCAAGTGTTAAAAGTAGAATTGGTTCCCAGAAGTCTGATTCCTGTTTTATACTTTTTTCTCAGCTTGCCCAGAAGGAGTTACAGAAGATCAATATGTACAAGGCACCAAGGGACAAAATTGTTTGCATCCTTAATTGTTGCAAGGTTATCAATAATCTTTTGCTGAATGCCTCCATTTCGGAAAATGAAAATCCTCCAGGGGCAGATGATTTTCTCCCTGTTCTTATATATGTCACAATAAAGGTAACATACCTATATGCTTTGAATTGCAAACTTGACATGCAGACTTGTAATATCTGGATATTCCCCCACACTTAAATATTAAGTTAGGGCACATATTTCCTCATTTGAATAACGAATGTATATAGGGGTCAATCATTTTAGAAGATGAAAATTTAAATCTCAGTTTTTCAAAACAGTATCAACTAACTCATCCCACTTACAACATTAACAACTACTAAGGGTTAATATTAAACCATTGGAGCCGGTCTCATTAACCAATAGAAAACCTCTCAAGTTCATCTACCAACATCTTAAAATTTCTATTCTCTAATGCCATGTACCATATGCTCATGAAGCTCTAGGACTCTAATGTGTTTTTACACTCTTAATCCTTGTTATTTTTTCCTTATGGCGAGTCTTTGATGTAGAACAATAACAACAACAAATCTAGAGGGGGTTAATAAAGTTGTAACTTGTAAGAAACTGATATTTTTTCGCCGAATTAAGGCATTACACCATCTCTCTTTTGTTATTGATGATGCACATTCAACATAAAATGAAGATAAGCGTAAAGCCTGCATGGATCCAAAAGTAAACCATTTACCATGACATAAAGAGTTACGTAATCTGAAGGATATATGAGAGTGATTGGAAAGTTGAATTATCTTAGTATTTATGACCTGATATGGCATTTGATGTAAGTGTGCTAAGCCAATATCTAAAAGTTGTGTGTTTTACGTAATCTGTCATACAGATTGCCTGTATGACAGATGATTGACTTCTAGGCGTTGTGTTTTTCTTTGTGGTCACATATTTTTCTTGGAAATGTACAAGAATTTTTTAAACCATGTTCAGTGTTTTGCTACATGTAAGCTTCCATGACTGAAGCAATACTTCAGGAATTGTGGTATGATAGTACTGCCCAAATGAAACTAATATGTGATAATCAGGCAACATTGCATGCTGCTTTGAACACCATGTAGAAAGGATGAATAGAGGTTGTTTGTCATTTCATTAGGAGGAAGATCATTTCTGCCAAATATATTTTGGTGTTCTGTTGATCGTGCATATGATCTTCTATATGCTCATCAAGCTTGAGAGGGACTTGAGATACTTATAATATGCTGAAGCCCTAACTTTACCCTTTATTTAAATAGTTTCAGCCTAGCCCATCTCGTGTCTTATACTTGTATATGAAGTACTTCTATACAATCTACATGAATAGAATATATAAAAGATGATATTATGGCATTGAGACTTCACGAGTTCATATGGTGCTTAATAGAATAACAGTATTGAGTGGAAACTTAAGATCTTACTCGATGACATCGGAGGATTTCTTATTGGTTCATGAAGCCAGCTCTAGTTGTTTCAGATTAATGTTTGATTGGCTTATCCAAGTTGCATCTGCATCATTTCAAATTGATTGTTACCCTAGTATCCAAGTATCATATCTATGGTCCTCAATTGTCAATAGATCACTCTGTATTGCTTTTCTCCGCCACTTAATTCTATGGGTCTACCGGATCACCTAAAGACAGGTACCTTTAGAATTTAGATCAAGCATCGGGATATATTATACACATGTTTCTAACTTTCTGTTAGTGGATCACTGATTGTTTCATCTGTCAATATATATGGGGTTGCATATCTTTGAGCCATAGGTAGTTGAAGTCTTGAACCTGAGTGGAACTGTTACCGAAATTTGAATTACAGAAGTAAATTGTTTGTTTCTTTTCCTCTTTTTGTTTATAACATTTTGGCATTCCTCTTTTTCAGTGACTAACACTGATGCCTTGAGCAGGCAAACCCTCCCCAGCTGCATTCTAATTTACTGTACATACAACGGTTTAGGCGTGAAAGTCGCTTAGCAGCAGAAGCAGCCTACTATTTCACAAACATTCTTTCTGCAGAGTCATTCATCAGAAACATCAATGCCAAGGCACTATCTATGGATGAAACTGAGTTTGAGTGCAACATGAGATCTGCTCAAGCACTTCTTTCTGGCCTTCTGGAGGACTCTTCTTCACAGCCTGAGTCATCAGAAACTAAACCCAGAAACGATGAACAGCCGTCAATTGACAAAATTCCATCCATCTCAGATCTAGAGAATAAAGGGGCAGCAATGATTTTGGAGGACAACACGAGCGACTTCTTTCACATTTTCCCTTATTTTTACTCTCAGGCTGGCATCTTAACTGTCAGTGATGTTGAAGAACTGCTAACCAACTACAAGCAACTTGTTTTCAAGTATGTATGTCTCTCTAAAGGTTTGGGCATTGGCCTAAACCAAGTGTGGCCGGAAACTGTCAAAGGGCCAGAAGAGGAAACTTTTCAAGGACCAGAAGTGTCGAAAACAGAGTCACCGCATACAGTGGGTTCCCCTGCAGCTACTGACAGGAACAAAATTCCAGCTGTTAATGTGCACGATACCGAGTCCAAGTTGGCAGTAGAGGATGGAGAAAGGAGTGGTGGGGGTTCATAGAAGATGACATGTAAAACTCCATGTATTGCAGTGGAGTCAATGGGTGCTTGTCATTGTACACTAAGACAGCATATTAGAAACCATTTGATGTTTATTTGGAGAGTAAGGAAGACTAGAGGTGGCAATCGGGTCAACCGGATCGGGTCTGGATTGGATTTTTCGGTTCCGATATCTCTCGGATATATGTTATGATCGGTTCGGTTCAGATTGGTTTAATTTTGGTTTGGATTTGATTCGGTTCTATACATTTTCCGATTTCGGGTTGGTTTCGAGTTGGTTCAGATACGGTTTGGATTTTTCGGTTCCGATATCTCTCGGATATATGTTATGATCGGTTCGGTTCAGATCGGTTTAATTTCGGTTTGGATTTGATTCGGTTCTATACATTTTCCGATTTCGGGTTGGTTTCGAGTTGGTTCAGATACGGTTTGGATATAAATCAATTTGGATATATTTCAGTTCAGATACAATTTTGATCGAATATATTTCGGTTTTGGATCTAGTTCGGTTCAGATATATATTTTAGTTTCGGATATGTTTTAGTTTGGATATATTTCGATCGAATATATTTTGGATAAATATTATTTCTAATTAAAATTTAATTATACATGTTTCTTTTTTTATTTGATCATATTTATCAATTTATCATCATTTCAACACCTTATATTATACTATATTTTTTAAAATTATACTATCACCACCCTGAATAATCTTTCTTTTTTGAGTTTTTAGTCATATTTTACAAATTTGAACTACAAGTTATGAAAAAATATACATTTAATTATGATATAGAATTAATATGATTTAATTGATTTAAAAAATAGAAAAAAATTGATTTTCAAATTTAGTTTGATATATCAAATATATATCACATCTACTAATATCTTTATGTTTATAAATGCAAAGATAAAATATAAATTTAAATAGTGTTACACTTCAATTGAATATAATTTAGTAAAAATTGAGTGAAATTAAGTGAATTTCATTTAATATTACTCTTAAAAATTGATAGAGTTAAATGAGATTAATACAATTGACTGCAAATTTTATAAACTACGGAGTATAAAATTAAATTTAATAGAGTTGGATATAACTAAGTTTAGGTGCTGTAGATCAAATTTGAATATGACAACACTAGATGCTGCCGCTAGAGACTTTTTCAAAACAATAACGTTAACCTTTAACAACATTGAATAATATTGGATGAATTGGTTTAAAACTAATCAAATTAACTCCCAGATCAATAAAATTTATTGTAACTGGGTGAAATTAGGATAAAATACTGTTTTTCCATACAATTAATCATATAAACCTTCCGTCTCAAAAAAAATATCACACTTCACTATTTAAAAATTACATAAATTTTATTTATTTATGCATTTTCATTAATTATTTAATAAAATAAACTATTATTTTTGAATTGTGAAATATTATAAGTAATATTTCTGAGAAGGAGGGAGTATTTGTTCATTAGTCACCATCTTGGTGCTACTAAAATTGATCTGTCCCAAATTTAATTGGCTTATGGCGGACGGCATGCATGTGCACATGGCAGGTTTCGCAAGTGTGTAGTCTTGTTGTAGGTATGGGGTGATGGATGAAATATTGAAAATTTGAAATAGTCTAGGATATGGAGTGATAAAAAATGTGTAGCATGGTGAGATGAAAGGAAGTGATTAAGGATGCATTTCGATGGCCTGATCTGATCTCATTTAATTTTTGAAATTTTGAATTGATCTGATTTCAATAAAAATAAGTAATAAGTAAAAAAAGTTAAACGGACCGCTACACGGTCGTGCCGGTCACACCCGCATGAAGGGCCACACCCGGCTGTGCCTTGGGCAGCACGGTCGTGAGGCGGTCGTGCCCCTGCCATGTCATCTCACGAATCACGCACATCGGCCTCATACTTGATGGTCTTAAGCCAAAAGATACTCTCTCTCAAAATATTTGTCACATTATGTAAAACGAAACATAATTTTAAATTTTTAAATTTATTTTATTTAAAAATTGTATAGTAATGAAAAAATAAAATATATTTTCTAACTCAAAAATAATTTTAAACAAGAGATGACGACAATGATACTTTATTTTATCAAATACTCCGTAATTCATAAAAATGTATAAATAATTTTTTTTGTGATTTTTAAATAATGAAGTGCATTACTCCCCCGTCTCAAATTATAATGCTTGTTTACTATTCACATGGTCAAACTTCATTCACTTTCTTTCTCTATTTTCGTTAGCAATTTGATAAAATAAATTATTATTGTCACTACTAGTTTTGTAGATCTTTTGATGTAGTTTTTAATATGTAATTTTTACTATTCACATGGTCAAACTTCATTCACTTTCTTTCTCTATTTTCGTTAGCAATTTAATAAAATAAAATATTATTTTCACTACTAGTTTTGTAGATCTTTTGATGTAGTTTCTTAATATGTAATTTTTATTTTTTAATTCTATACCATTTGTCATATAAAATGGTTTGAAAATGATTTCAATCAAACATCGTAAACCGAAACAGACGTTATAAAGTGGGACGGAGGTAGTACTTTTTTTTTTAGACAATGGGAGTAGCTATGAAAACGATAAGGTTGTTGTGGAGCATTAATGCACTTGTTGACGTTTTCTTATCTCATTGTAAGAGCCGCCCAATCTTGATTTTGGAGTCTGAAAAATCGTTCTGATCCTTTTAATTTGTTTTTATATTTGAAAATCTAGTACATTTTTTGTTTTATTTTAAGGTATGTGTTTTAGTTTACAATGTTTAACTAAACTTATTTTTAATTAATATATTTAGGAATTGAAGTAAAACTAAAAAATAAAATTTATGTGTTTAAAAATTACGTCAAAACTCTTTTTAGATTTAAGATAACATGACTATATTCTTTTTTCAAATATATGGAGTATATAGTGAAAACCATTAAAAACGAGTTAAGCTTGACCCTGTGAACAATAAGCATGCAATTTAGTTAGTTAATTTAGAACGAAGAGAGTACTATCGAAGAGCAATAAAATTACTTGCGCACTACTCGGTGCACACCTAACTGTACACCAATCAATCTTTGTAGTGACACGCTGATTATGACACACTGTCACAAAATGCTAGTGTAAAATTTTATGATTGTATTAACATTTTGTACCAGTGTATGCCTTTAGTGGGCGAGTGAAAAGCACTAGGGTACCCCTAGTGATGTGTACAAGTAGCACCATTGATCAAAGAATTTATAAAGATTTCGGAGCTGTTTGGTAACTTCTGAATGGGTAAATGCTGAACCAGTAAGAGGTCTGAACCATTAAGTGCTGAACCAGTAAGAGGTCTGAACCATTAAGAGCTAGTATATTGTTTAACTATTCAGAGGCAAATGTCTGATCAATTCAGATAAGAGCTCTTAACCATTCAGACTCTGTATAATACTTAACCATTCAGACATCTGAACCATTAAGAGGCTGAAACAAACAGTCTGAACCATTAAGTGCTGAATCATTCAGACATCTGAACCATTAAGAGGCTGAAACAAACAGCCCCTTCGTATTTATCAATCTATATCTACCTTGTATGTGCGAATTTACCAACACTATGTTTGGTTAAAAGAATTTGAGAAGAAAAAAAAAGAAAATAAGAAGGAAAACATTTTTTATGGTTAGGGAGGAAAACAAAAGAAAAGTAGAAAAAAAGAAAATGAAAAGGTAAAATATATTAAAAAGATGGAAAATTAAATTCCTCCCATTTTTGTGAGAAACTGAAAGAAAATCATTTTCTTCATAATTTCTTGAACCAAACATAGTACTCCCTCCGTCCCAATTTATAGCGCATGTTTCGGTTTAAGATGTTTGACTGAAATTATTTTTAAATCATTTTATATGATAAATGGTATAAAATTAAAAAGTGAAAATTACATATCAAAATACTACGTTAAAAGATCTACAAAACTAGTAGTGACAATAATATTTTATTTTATCAAATTACTAACGAAAATAGAGAAAGAAAGTGAATGAAGTTTGACCCTGTGAATAGTAAACATGCATTATAATTTGGGACGGATGAAGTACAAAAGATCCGGAAGTAAAATGTTTAGCTGTTTTTAAAATTTTAAAAAAACAAATAACGAGGTGTTAAATTAAAGCGCCGTTCCAAACATGGCTCTACGTATATTTGATCATTTTACTTTACTCATTCAGTATTTAGAGTGATTTTTTTTCTTCTTCCTTTTTTTCTTTTTACTTGTTTCGTTACTAATCTGATATCCTGAAATAATATAATTACGAAGTATGTAAATTTCTTTTTTATACTCCATAAAGCTTTTAAAATAATATTTAAATAGTTTTTTAAATTTATGCTAGTTTTAATTAATTTAAATTAAAAATAAATTTAATAAAACATCATAAACTAAAATAAACTAAAATGATTCAAATAAACAGAGAAAATAAACAGTTTATTTGGACAATGATGGAAAATGTGAAATGGGACAATTACACTACAACACGCCTTTTCTTAAGTTAGAGGTGGACGCGGTCCGTGATACTATCGGATTCTATCACGGATTGTCCTTATTTAAATGGTTCAATATCGGTACGAGATGAACCTCAAAATCGTACGGTACCGTTTCATTTTGAAACGAAATGGTACAATACCATACCCATCAAACATGCTCAAGTCGTGCCAAAAAATGAACTACATTACTCAAAGAATATTGAAATAAAAATACATTTTTTTATAAAAAAGTAAAACTTTATTAAAAATGAGGATTGATTTCGAATTAAAAAAGATCATAAATAAAAGAAATAAAAGATGACGAGTCCAAATTTAAAAAAATAGTTTTTTTAACTTATACAATATCAGACTATTAAAAGTCTAAAACATAATGCTAATAGTAGTAATAAATACAATAACAACAATAATAATGAAAAATATCAAAAAATGAATAATACAATATGAAGTCCTCCATACACGGTTAGAGGAAGTAGATAAATAATTATTTTAGACACTTTGTATATTTTTTGAACGGTGCGGTCCATGATAATTAGTTTTAAATATTTGTATCATGGTCCCGTCTCGTTTGATATCGGTTCGATTTCAGATCCTGATGGAAAAAAATCTGTCCTGTTCAAAAATACTACGAACGATTCGGTACCATTACGGTCTGATATGGTACCATACTAGTTTGGTTTTTTGCCC